GGGCCCCCCATGATGCCACAACTCACCTCAGCCAGCCTGGGAATACACAGCAAGCTGATGCAGTGGCCCTGGGGTCAGGGCCAATGTAGGTGCTCTTTTTCTTAACAATCTCCCACCCTGCCCAAAAGTCATTAGAACTTTTAAACCACTACCCACAGGCTGCAGTGCCAGTGCATGTCTGGTGGTGGTGGTGGGGGGGGGGGGGGCAGGCTGAGAAGAAGAGAAACAGATCCATATCGCCCTATTACCTTGGGACTGGTAGTCCCCATCTAGGGGATGAAAGGAGGACAGCTGGGTTAGAAGGGCTACTGTGAATCTGGAGAGATCATGAAGGCAATCCTGTCTGAGGATATGACTTGTGATAGAAGTAACTCTCATACTAATCTCTAAACACAACAGGAGCACAATTCATGAATAAACTCAAAGGGATGTGATTCAAACAAGTAAAGAGCAGTAAATCCTGTGCATTCAAAAATAGAAGCAATCTTTTCACTAGCCACTCTCAACCTTCTAGGTCTAAAGGGTTATATCTTTTTCCACAACATGCTAACAGTGCCCTCTGGTGTTTGAGAGCAAGACAAGGCATATGAATATACAGGGTAAGAGCACATCCATCAATTCAGTGGATATTAAACTGCCTCTGACTGTGGAATCCCGAGAGGAATAAAGGTTAATAAGACAGACAGGACCCTGCCCATAAAGGGCTTCCAATTTAGTGGGAGAGACAGATCTACAACTGTAGACCAAATGAAGAATGACATGGGCTACAATAGAGGTATAAATGGAGTCCAGTGAGAGCACCTAGAGATGAATAAGTGGACCTTGTGCTGGGTCCCACAGGCTGAGGATAGAGGTTAGAGCCCTTCAGACTGTGAATCCCAGACGAGGGCCCAGTATGTCAGGGTAGCCAGGGCAGAGTGCCAGGGTTAGAGGTCCTGGGAGATGCAGCTGAATGGGGCCATATTCGTTGAAGGCCTTGGATGCCAATCTCAGTGGGGGCCATCCTAAGTAAAGAGCTAACAGATGTCTTAATGATAATTTGCAGAAGGGAAAGGGGTGGCTGTGTCAGCAAAGTGTGTGGGCCTAGGAAACCATGCAGAGAAAAGGCTTTTGCTGCAGTCTTGTGAGGCCCAGAGGTCTGAACTGAGCACTGGCGATGGGATGAACAGGAAGGCAAACATTTAAAAATAGTCAAATTGACAAGAAAGAAGGTGGTTGAGCATAAAAGGAAACAGAAAGAGATTCTGAGATTTCTGGCCCTAGTTTATGGTTCTTACAAAGATAAGAATTAGAATGAGGAGAGCAGATACTTTGGAAAAATTTTATTAATATCCATTTTAATCCTTCACAAGTGAACTATCTGTTCTAGGTCCTGAGCTATAAAATGAAACAGTAATTAATTCGAATAGGCACATCATTTGTGAAAATAGGTATTTAAAATATACAAGATAAGCCTGGGCATCTTGAAGTGCCAAAAAGTAAAGAAGTACTAAAAAACAAACCAAACATACACTAATAAGGATATATAAAAAGGATATAGGAGTTCCCAATGGCCAAAGCTAGAACAATTTGAGCAACAAAATAAATAAAGTAGTATTGAATTATAACCCAAAGTATACTATACATTTCCATGAGTCCTTACTGATACAAATGATTAACAAAATAAATAACTGGGAGACAATAGGAAAATCTCCTGTGCAAAAGAGTTTCAAATAATTTATGTAGATACTCTTTCCTCAAGGAAGGAGGGGGAGTAAGTCCCCATTCATTCATTGTAGGCTACATAGCGCTAACTTCCTTCCAAAAGGTATAGTATGGAAAGGGGGACAAGGAGTAACTTTACAGTGGAGAAATCCGACAAACACTACTTTGGCCAGATAATCAAGATCACATCAACATTGAGAAGTCATGTTGATATAGTATGCAACTTCAATATGATGGGATGACAAAGGCACTTATGTTTTCCTCCCCAATCCCATAACCCTTGTCTAATTATAAGAAAAACATCAGAGAAATCAAGATTGATAGGCACTCTATAAAATACCTGACCAGTAATCCTCAAAACTGTCGAGGTCATCAAAACCAAGGAAAATCTGACAAACTGTTACAGCCAAGAGGAACCTAAGGAGACATGATGGCTCAACTCTATGTGGTATCCAGGATGGGATCCTAAAACAGAAAAAAGACATTAGGTAATAACTAAGGAAATCTGATTGAAGTATGGACTTTAGTTAATAACAACGTATGGACATTAGTTCATTAATTGTGACAAATGTATTACACTAATTAAGGTGTTACTAATAGGGGAAACTGGGTTTGGGATAAATGGGGATCCCCTCTACTACTTTCACAAATTTTCTTTAAATCTAAAACTATCCCAAATTAAAAATTAATTTAAGAAAAAAAAGCCCAATTATTTAGTAGAGAACGACTGATTATAATGAGGCCCAGATGAAGAATAGAACATTTCAAAGTTGGACTTTCTAGCCTATAACAATGAGGTTGGCTATTCTCATCAATGGAGAATAAAGGCGTAAGAAACGGTTGATAGGTGTGAGGTGCATGTGTGTGTGTATGTATATTAATTGCACATGGAGATTGGGTAGCTGAATGTTTGAGTGACAAAAAGCACCACTTATCCCTACTACTCCCGCCACAAGTTCCACCTCCCACCATTGCAGCTGGAGTCCTGAGGGCACTGTTAGAGGACTATTACTTTCAGTTAAGATTATGATTCTCACACTTTAGTGTACAAATTAACTCTTTTTAAAGGAAAAGATACTACCCTAGATGTCTGAGAATATGCCTGGAGAAACACTAGATTAGGAAACTAAAGTCTTAATCTTGAAAAGTGTCTTTTCAGTTGTGAATGATCACTGCAAGAGTTGATTCTTCAGGGCAAGCAAAATACTGTTTCTGAAATAAAAGTCCACAACTAAAAAACCTTATCACTTGCAGAGCTTTGACACAGTCTTTGGACACCTAGGATAGGAAGCATAGCATGGAGCCTCAAACTCACAGGAGTGAAGATGGAGAAAGGGGGCATAGTTATGGGGAGACCTAGGCTGATATTGTGTGGCAGGCCCAGGAAGCAGCGGCTCAGAAGGAATAGGTTCTCAGAGGCAGATCTTCCAGAAAAGAAGTGCAACTGAAGTGATCTGATGCTTAGCCTATAAGGAAAATTGTAGTTTGAAGCAACTGATCATGTGGAACATTTGGGAAGAATTACGCATGGGTATATAGCAAAAAAAAAAAAAAAGGGCAGGAACCCTAGCTGGTGGAATGAGCTTCAGTGGATAGAGCATCAGCCTGTGGACTGAAGAGTCCCAGGTTCTATTCTGGTCAAGGGCACATGCCTGGGTAGTGGGCTCAATTTCTCTCATCATTGATGTTTTTTTTTCTCTCTCTCTTCCCTCTTCCTTCCTCTCTGAAATCAATAAAAAGATATATTTTTTTTAAAGGCAGGTATTTATTTCATTAAAAAATGTATAAGAGTGGAAAAATAATCATGGTATATTGTCTGGCTTAAAAAAGGTGATGTAATTATAAAATAGAATGAAAAGGGGGAAGATTTAAAGGTGCTAGAAATTTATGTAACATAATAGGAAGTCAATAATGTCTAAGATTACTAAATAAAGAAGTGGCTAAAAAGTGGAAAGTTGTTGCCTTTAGGGAGGACTAAGAGTACAAAGGGTGAGTCAATAGACTATTTTTCATTATAATCCTTTTTGTACTTCTTTAAGATTTTTAAAAGTCTATATTACTTTATTTATATACTTAAATAACAAAAAGACGCAGATTACAACCCCTCACCACTGTCATGTGATTCTAAGTGAAACTGGTCAAATCTGAAGACGAGCACCATGCACAACTCGATATAAGTCTCCAGGAACAGCAATATTTGAACCCCAAACCCCATCCTCTGCCGTTAGTGACAATGACTCAGCGAGCCCCCTAGAATTCACTATCTGGTGCTGGTCCTGAGTTTGCCCTACTAATAATCCAAATCACACAAAATCATCATAAACAAACAAACATGAGATAGGTTCTATTCAATTTCTCCAAAGACCTTCAGGCAGGTTCTCATCCTAGCTGCCTTGCTTAATGTAACTATCTTGGCCTGGCTCCCTTACCTGCTGGAAATGCCTGAGCCACCAGGCTGAAGGTGTGTGTGTGGAGGTGTGTCTTCACTCGTGCTGTGGAGGTTAGTGGAGTCCCTTCTGCACTACATGAGCATGGAGTCCAGGGTCCCACACCTTGTAGCAATGGCCTATTCTCAGTCTATGTGGACTTCTTTGCTGGGTCACCTCCCTAATGAGAACCTGCGTGTTTATTTGCACAATGATGAAATTTCTCTATAAAGTCGATTTCCCTGTAAAATGCTTCCCTCCAAAGCAGAGTCTATGTTCTAAATGGAAAGTTCTACATTTAAGTCTTTGAATTTTATAGTTTTCCTATTCCTTCATTCTACCCTCCAGATTCCTTACTGTGCTAGATAAAATCCAGAGTGAATTTATAAGGAGACACCAATGGAGAGAAAGCCTTTATTTGCATAACAAACTTGGGTGAAGTAAGAAGAGGCATAGGAGCACCAGATTAGGGTGGAAGAATCTTGGTGGAAGAGAAGAAAGGACCCTCTGGAAACAGAAAGAACAGAGGTGCTAGCTATCATAGCCATACACATGTTCTGCGGTTGGCATCTGGACTGCTCTGTTCTCACTCTCTGGGACTTCTCTTTCCTTGTTCATAGTCTCACAGTCCCAAAGGGCTCCCTCTCCAAACTTGGTGGAGGAGCACAGCTTTGTAGCCAAATATGCTTGGCAGCAACTACTTAGAAGCTGTTACTTGTATTGGTTGCAGCTTTTAGTGATTTGACACCCTTGGACCACCAGAAGTGGCCCCTCCTGCCACCAGAGGATTCTGGTTTCTCTAATAAAGAAGGTTCTGGCCCATCAGTCCAAGAAGGGCCCGAATTCTCTTCCAGGCTGGTGTCTCTGCAGTCAGGCCCCCCCAGAGTAGAAGGTGCTGCGGCGGGGGATGCCACCTGAGTTTTCAGGTAAGTAGTCTGTGGTGAGAGAAAGGTGGGAGAGGAAAACTCAGCCCTCTCTCTCCCAGGTGCAGGTCCTCAAGCCCTTCCATAGCCACTTTCTTCCCACACTAACGGCACCACGGAGTCCCCATCTGGTGGCATTCCCTCCTCCTTTCTTAGGCACCAGAATCCCCCCCACCCAACCCCAGTTCTTAGACCAGACCGCCGCTCAGTCCCACCTGAGCCTTCTGGTGAAGGTGCACACTCCTCACACTCCCATTTCTTACTGTTGGATCTAAGAAAGGAGCAGTCCCTATGGGTTCCGCGGGATCCGCATGTGGCACACAGAACGAGGCTCCACCTCCTACAGGAAGACAAGGAAGGGTTGTGGGCACAAATATAACACTATCTACCGCTTCGGGATGTCACTACGGGGCAGCCTTTGCTGAGGGCTTCCCAGGCATGTTTTGCTGTACATTTTACCCAGGATGAATGTGTGGCTGTGTGCTGATCTCAGGACCTTGCAGTTAGGCACAGACACTCGAAAAGTGGGTTTGGAAAGGAATTGGCCCTGAGTATCTCTCCACTGGGCTCAGGGAGAAGCAGACCTGCAGAGGGACCTGTTCACCTGCACGTGAATGAGTCCCGGGCTGTGATGTGTTTGCCCTGAGGTCTGTAGACAAAAGTGAAATCTTTGCTCTTAATAACTGTGCCAAGGTCTAATTCTGAGTTGGCACTGAGGAGAAAACTTTCTAGCCAGAAGCCTTTCCTTACCCTTCGTCCTCAAAGTTGTCTCTGCCTTGTTCATACAGACAGATGGGGGCATCACAATGCTGATAGCGCTGATACAACTCTGAGAAAGCCCCTGGTTCGAGTTCCCAGGCGGCATCTCTGCAGTGGGAGAAGAAACAGTAAGGGACACATCATTGGTTGGTGAAACCACTCTCCTCCTGGGAAGAACTAGGAAGAAGTCAAACTAGCACAGCAAAGGAGTTCAACAGGCTGCCTGAATGATTTCAGCAAGGTTGGGAAGATGGCCTGACAGTGGGAGAGGGTTGAAGCCAAATGAATGGAACATGGGGTTCCTTAGTTTCACACGAGAACTGGAGAACCTACCCCTCACCCAGGGAATTCTGATCCCCAAAGCACCCTTGTCAGAAACATACCTATCCCCCAACACTCAATCCTCTTTTATTTTGATATTTGAAAAGCTCTCTACCCATTTCCTCTTCACCATATAACAATGCCTTGGCTGCTTCTTCATTCTCTAAACTATCCTCACGCTCACCTCCTCTCTAGAAATCTAGGCAACCCATTCCCTGGCTCAATTCCTGCTTTAGAGTTTCCACTACCTGTCTGGAATGTGAATTCCCATTCTTAGCATTTCTTGAGGAAACTCTTCTCTATTGTTGCATTGTGGACATTTGAAGAAATGCTTTGCCGATGTGTGGGCATATTTCTGTAAGAGAAACATGGAAAAACTTTGTGTTTGTAAAGACTCTATCTTTGATCACCTCATTTCCACCTCCACCCTCATCTCACAAAGAGGACTTGCCTGGGGCTTACAGGAAAAGGACTTTGGGTGTGTTAGGGCGAGGGCTGCATATTCCGGTGCCAGACCAGGGACCAAAAGCTTAAGAAGGTTCCCAGGAGTGCCTCAGCTGTCATCTCTGGCTATTAGGCTTAGCAGTGCTAACCCAGAAGGACTCGGGGACCTCTTTCCTTCCATGTGAGGAAGCAAGACTGATTTGGAGGCCACTTGACTCATTCTACGATGAGCTCATTTGCTCTCGCCATCCTGAGGATTTTTTACTCAGTCTAAATCTTATCATCATGAAGGAGATCCTAAGGTCAAGGGTGACCAAAGACTGCGCTGACTTTCCTCTGACTTCCTGGAACCAGCCCTGCATGCAGGCCTCCTGTTGAGATTGCCTGAGCATTCCCAGGGGGCTCTGAACTAGGACAATTGTGGAAGTCCCCTGGGCAGAGAGAGCCCCACCTGTATGCACTTTCGGTGGTAGAGAGTTTGACTACAGCATGGACTCTGGATGTTTTCAACACTTGCTTGGGACAAGTCTTCACAACATAAGACGCAGCTTTCCTCTCCCACATTCCCCCGTTGGATGTCCTGTGTTGGGCGATGTTTTTCACAGAATGATCTGTGGCAGAGTAAATAAACTTGGTTTTCATTTATCTTGATGGAGTTTTCCAGCTGCCTGGCTGAGGGAGGGCAATCAACTCCCCAGGCTGGTGCCCAGAGCACCTCCTCCGTGCTCAGAGGAGAGGGGAGGGAAGGAAGAGAGGAGGAGAGGAGAATGAAGAACAGCCTTCTCACAGCTGCTCTCCCACTGAGCAAAACTCCCGGATCATCTCTACAGCCCCTCTCATTCCTGAAAGCCCTACTTCCTTCTGAGCAGCTGTCTAAGAACCTCAGCTGTTTGTAATTTAAGAAGGGGACGGAAGGAAGAAGTAACCCCTGTGAAATTGCCAAGTCAAGACACTGTTTCTCATTAATGAATAGAGGGACAGATTCCCTGGTGAATCAAAACAGGCCCGTGAGAACTAGACTCTGATTTGATTAGTGGCCCTAATTAAAAGCAAGTTGCAAAAGGGCAACCCGACTTTTCCCCTTCATCACTCACTTGTACTCTCCAAAAAATTGTGAAAGGCAACCCCTTTCTTGGCCACAAGGAAGATGGAAGTTTCTGACACAATGATCCTTCTGGCAGTTGATGGCAGCTCCCTTTTTCTTGCACACAAAGCAGATCTGCAAATGAGATCCCAGGCTGTGTTCAGGGTCCCAAGAAAGACAGACAGACATTCTGTGGCACATTATTCTTTGGAGTGGAAATTCTGTGAAGCAACGAGCATTCCCTTTCCTCGGTGGACCTGTAAGCTCTGGAGCTTCAAGCAGCACTGAATTATTTTGTTTTCCCAGGCTGTTGCTCCCTCTCCTCACTTAGGATACTATGCCCCAGAGAAGCATGGAACTTAAGAGAAGGACCAGCTGGGAAGTCCAGGAGTCCTCTGACCTCTGAATTAGAAACTAGGGGGAAAGAACCAAGGCAGGGATGACCAGGGAGGTATGAAAAGAGGCCTCGCCCAAGGCCCTCATTCCAGGGGATTCTAACCTTCCTAGAAGCCCGGGCTGCCTCCTTTTTGATGTCTTCAGGCAGGAATCCATGGATACCTCTGTTAGACTGGCCCCGCTGAAGCAGCTTGCTAGATAGAATCTGGGGAGTGGGGGGCCAGCAGAACCAGGCTGTCAACATTGGTGATCAGTGAAAAAGTGCAGTGGGGTAGAGGAGGACAGAGTAGAAATATGGCTTGGTGGAATATATATGCATTTACCGAGTAATTTACTTAATAAAGGCTTATGTATTATTAACTATAAGTTGGATGCTCTAAGTGCTTTTCAAATATGAACTCATTTAATCCTCAAGACATGCTCAAGACACAGAACTGCAGAGCCTGAGCTCTTACCCATCTTTGTGCTGTGCTGCCTCACAGTTATTAAGGACTTTTGTGTGCTGGCACTTTGAGGAAACATTCCCTGTGTGTTGGCCATTTTATGCTTACCAGAACCCTGTGATACAGATGCTGTTTGATCTGCATCTTACAGAGGAGGCCACAGAAGTGCAGCACAGTAAGCAAGCAGGGCTAGGGTGACACAGCAAGGAGGCAGAAGAGCTGGCATTCACATCCAGGCCTCCAGAACCCATACTATTTCCCCTTCTGCTGTATTGACCCCTTGGTGTAGAATAAATACTATAAAAAAATGCTTTGTATAAGAAGGGAAACTGGGCTTTAAAATGATCTACTTGTAGTCATTCTGCCTTATTGGGAAAGGGGAGGAATTGAAAATTTTCTTTTAAAACACATTTTAAAGGGTCCTTTTGTTTCTGAAAGGCCCCCAAAGCAAAGTTTAGAATGGGAAATCAAGGGAAAAGAAGCTAAATTGTTATGTACTCATAAACAATGCATATGTACATATATTGGAAGAATGTCAACACCCCAGCCCCACTCCAAGAATCTTCCAAAAATACTGGAGAGAGTGCTGGTAATTACATCTTATGAAATTCAGGTTATTTTAACATGATAAAAAAGGTGACCCTATAAGGTTAGATAACTCGACACTTGGATTATAGCCATATATTCTTAATTAGGCTTAAAACATATCTATTTAACATTAATTATCTCAGAGCTTTTGGACTATATGAGTGATATCAGTTTTATATATACTTTTAAGTACTGCTGTTTTCTACAATGAGTATGCATTATTTCAATAAACAGGAAAATCAACAGTGAAAGATTAGAAACAGCCCTAGCCGGTCTGGCTCAGTGGATAGAATGTCAGCCTATGGAGTGAAGGGTCACGAGTTCATTTCCAGTTAAGGGCACATGCCTGGGTTGCAGATTTGATCCTCAGTAGGGGGTGTGCAGGAGGCAGCCAATCAATGATTCTCTCTCATCATTAATGTTTCTCTCCCTTCCTCTCTGAAATCAATAAAAAAATATTTTTAAAAAGATTAGAAACAATCTAAATGTCCTTTAATAGAGATTTGTTTTAATACTTTTTTGTATAACCATACCATGGAATACCAATTAGCTATTAAAAAGAAAAATCTAGCCCTGATGGATTTGGCTCAGTGAATATAGAGCGTCGGCCTGCGGACTGAAGGGTTCCGGTCAAGGGCATGTACCTTGGTTGTGGGCACATTCCCAGTGGGGGGTGTGCAAGAGGCAGCTGATTGATGTTTCTCTCACATCAATGTTTCTAACTCAATATTTATTCCTCCCCCTTCCTCTCTGTAAAAATTCAATAAAATATATTTAAAAAAAGAAAAAGAAAAAACTAGATCAATATGTTAAATTTAGAATGACCATAAAAAAGCAAAACACAAATGCAAAACACTGTGTATAGTGTGTGTGTTTTTATGTTGAATGTGTATTTGCTTGTAAATGCACTGAAATTAATCAAGACCTGACATCAAAACCAGAAAGGAAAATCACAGATCAATTTTTCTCATGAGCGTAGATGTAAAAATGAAACAAAATTATTAACAAATTGAATCCAGCGCCATATCAAAAGGATAAAACATCATGACCAAGCAGGGTTTATATCAGAAATGCAAAGTTAGTTTAATATAAAATAATTCAATGGATAAAACAAATCACATCAACAAATTAAGGGAAAAAATCATGAGCATCTCAATAGATGCATAAAAAAGTATTTGACAAAATTCAAAACACATTCATGATACCCTCCAGCAAACTAGATATAAAAGGGAACCTATTCAATCTAATGAAAAGAACCCATGAAAAACCTATACCTAACATCAAATTTTAAAGGTGAAAAATTAGATACTGTCCTCTGATGTTGAAACAAGACAAGGATATTTACTCACATAACTTCTATTCAACACTAGATTGAAGGTCCCAGCTAGTACAAAAAGTCAAGAAGAATAAATAAAAGACATAAAGATTGAAAAGGAAGAAATAGAACTGTTTTTATTCACATACAACATAATTATATACATAGGAAATCCTAAGGCATTTATAAAAACAACAACAAAAATGCACCAAAAATAGCTTCTGAACTAATATGTGAAATTAATAAGATTGCAGGATATAAAATCAATGTACAAAAATAAGTTGCATCTCTATATACCAGCAACAAACCTGAAAATGAAAATTTAAAATAGCATAAAACCACAAAATATTTAGAAATACATTTAACAAAAATGTGCAAGTCTTCTTCATTAAAAATAATTGCTACCTGGCTGGCGTGGCTCAGTGGTTGAGTTTCGATCTATGAATCAGAAGGTCATGGTTCGATTCTTAGTCAGGGCACATGTTCAGTTTGTGGGCTTGATCTCTGGTGTGGGATGTGCAGGAGGTAGCTGATCAGTAATTCTCTCTCATCATTGATCTCTCTCTCTCTCTCTCTCTCTCTCTCTCTCTCTCTCTCTCTGTCTCTGTCTCTGCCTCTACCTCTACCTCTACCTCTACCTCTACCTCTATCTCTATCCCTGGCTTGTTTGGCTCAGTGGATAGAGAGTCAGCCTAGAAGGGTCCTGGGTTTGATTCTGGTCAAGGACACATGCCTGGGTTGTGGGCTTGATCCCCATTTGGGGGCATGCAGGAGGCAGCTGATCAATGATTCTCTCTCATCATTGATGTTTCTCTCCCTCTCCTTTCCTCTCTGAAATCAATAAAAACATATTAGAAAATTGCTAAGATTATATTTTAAAAGATCCAAATAAATGGTATATTGTATCACGTTCATGGATTGGAAGATTCAATATTGTCTGTCCATTCTACAATGCAATTCCCCATCACAATTCCAAGAGGCTTTTTTTTTAAGAGAAAAATTTAAAGCTAACTATAAAATTTATATGGTAAAGGAACTGATAACCAAAACAATCTTGGAAAATACTGCAAACTTACAATACTAAATTTCAAGATACTCTAAAGTCACAATAATCAAGACATGTTGCACTGGTGGCACTGGTATAAGGATCGACATACAAATCAATAAAATAAACAGATCACTGAGGTGTACAGATATATGGTCAATTGATTTTGAAAAAAAAACACCAAGATAATTCAATGGTTAGGCAAAGATTTCTTGGGACACACAAAAAAACATTAATGATAAAAACAAAATTGATAAACTGATTTCATCAAAATTAAAAACGTATGTTCTTCAAACAGCATCATAAATAAAATGAAAATAGAAAATTCTAGATGAGTTAAGGTTACATTTCTGGAAGAGATTAAAACTGCAATTAGGATAGACTTATTCAGTCACTCTTCTCTTTCCCATCAAAACTTACTTGTCTCAGAAATTCCAAAATGGCGGCAGAGTAAATAAAAGATACACTGACATGCTCCCAGGACCATACTGGAATTACAACTAAAATACAGAAAAATGAGTAATCTGAAGACTAACTGAAGAGAACCCTGATAACCAAGGATGAAAAGTGGAGACTACATAGACTGGTAGGCAGTGTGGAGGTGCAAAAGGGCTGGCCGGGCTCCCCAGACTGCAGCTGAAGTTCCAGAGGGATATCTCAGCTGTGGGGGGTGCCCACTAAGACCTCTGGGGTCTAAAGAAAATGAAAAGGCAAACCACAACAGGAAGGAAATAGTCACAATACTACTTATCTGCAAAGAGACTGGTAGCCAGAATATATAAAGAACTCTTAAAGCCCCGCTCGTGTGGCTCAGTGGTTGAGCATCTACCCATGCACCAAGAGTCTCCAGTTTGATTCCGTCAGGTCATATGGACTCCCCTTCTCCCTTCCTCTCTCTCAAATCAATAAAAACATATATTTTTTAATAGTTTTGTTTTACATATGTAAATGTAGACACACACACACACATCCTTTTCCTTCCTTCCTCCCTCCCTCCCTCCCTCCCTCCCTCCCTCCCTTCCTCCCTCCCTCCCTTCCTTCTTAATATATTTTATTGATTTTTTACAGAGAGGAAGGGAGAGGAATGGAGAGTTAGAAACATCGATGAGAGAGAAACATCAATGAGCTGCCTCCTGCATACCTCCTATGGGGATGTGCCCACAACCAAGGTACATGCCCTTGACTGGAATTGAACCTGGGACCCTTTATTTATTTTTATTTTTTATTTTTATTTTTTAAATATATTTTATTGATTTTGTACAGAGAGGAAGGGATAGAGATAGAGAGCTAGAAACATCGAGAGAGAGTCATCGATCAGCTGCCTCTTGCACACCCCCCACTGGGGATGTGCCCGCAACCAAGGTATATGCCCTTGACCGGAATCGAACCCAGGACCCTTCAGTCCCCAAGTCGACGCTCTATCCATTGAGCCAAACTGGTTTCGGCTGAACCTGGGACCCTTTAGTCTGCAGGCTGACACTCTATCCACTGAGCTGAACTGGTCAGGGCAATAAAAAACATATGGGGGGGGGGGGGAAGAACTCTTACAACTCAATCAGACAAAAGGATCCAATTTTTAAAATGGACAAAATATTTGTTCAGACACTTCATAAAAGAAAATATGTAAATGGCCAATAAGCATATGAAAAGAAGCTCAATATCTCAAGTCATCAGATAAATGCAAATTAAAACCACAGTGCACACACCTCTTAAAAATGGGTAAAATTTAAAAGACTGACAATATCAAGTTCTAGTAAGAATTTTGTGCAACTGGAACTTCATAAACTGCTAATGGGAGTATAAATTGGTACAACTACTTTGGAAAGTGACTTGGCAACTTCACATAAAGTTAAACACATAGTTAACATACAACCAGTAATTCTACTCCTAGGCATTTTCCCAAGAGAAGTGAAAACACATGTTCACAAAAAGACTTGTGCATGAATGTTCACAGTTGCTTTATGGATAATTGCCCCCAAAAGGAAACAATTCAAATGTCCATCAACAGGTGGATAAACAAATTAAATATTCATACAACAGACTACTATTGGGGAATAGAAAGGCTACCAATGCATGCAACAACATGGATCAATCTCTAAAACACTACATTGAGTCATAGAAGCCAGACACAAAAGAGTACAAATTGTATGATTCAATTTATATGAAGCATAATAGGCAAAAGTAATCTATGGATCAGTGATTATCTTTGAGGGGACTGACTGGAAGTGGGAGGAGGGAACTTTGTAGGATGATGGAAATATTTATTTTGATTCAGACAGTTTACATGGGGACATACATTGTTTATAACCCTAGGGACCCAATGCATAAATTCATGCACCTTGAAAGGAACTATGGGTCGTGAGGCTGCTGTGGGGCGGGTCTTGGGCCATCCTCCGCACCCCGACCCAGACCCTCCCACAGCGGGCCCCCAGTCCATCTGCCCATAGCCACACTCCTGCCACCACCACTGCCATGCTCGGACAGTGCTGGCCCCATTTGCACCCGCTCAGCAATTGGGGCCAGGACCAGCAGCAACTGCTGCTCTGATCGCTCCTTAGGAGCAGGGTGGGAGGAGAAGCCCTGAGGGGCGATCAGGGCTGGCATCTGCTGCTCACATCCACTGAGGCACTGAGCAATCAGAGATGGCAGCAGGTACAAGTGGTGGCTCCTTGGCCGGGCCCGGAGCAGCCAGGTCGGGAGCAGCCAGGCCTGGAGCAGCAGCAACCAAGCCTGGAGCACCCAGTTCGGGAGCGGCCAGGCCTGGAGCGGCCGGGCCCGTAGCAGCCGGTTCGGGAGCAGCCAGGCCAGGAGCAGCAGCAGCCAGGCCAGGAGTGGCAGTGGCCTGACCCGGAGCAGCTGATTGTGGAGCAGACCAGAGCAACAAAGGCCAGGCCCGGAGCAGCCAGTCCTGGAACAGCTGGCTCCTCCACTGCCCCGGCCCCAAGGCTGCCTCTCAGACATGGCTGGAAACTTTGGGGGAACTTGAGGGTCTGCTGAATCAAGTAATGAAGGCTTAGATCTGGATGTGTTGAGTTAGTATAGCGCTGGGGTGTTGATCTGTGAGTGCCTTGTGTGGGGCCTGGAAGAGGTTGGTTTATCTATTTGGAAATGTCTTTTGTGTGAAATATATCCTTGGGCGCGTGGAGGTATTATTGATTTGAGAAAATGCTAAGTAACTGATTTACTATCTGAAAAATTTAAAGTTCTGAAAGTTTAAGGCCTCTTGCCAAAAAGAGGTTTTAAAGCTAACACCTTAATTTTAATGGAGAAAGGGAAAGACAAGCCCTTCCCACCCAGAACAGGTAATCCAATTCCAACCAGCAGCTATGTTTAAACAATGTGTCCATTTACACTTGAATGGCTACACCTTTTGATAGCCTAAGGGCAAGTTTACCTGTAAACAAGATTGCTTCTCAATTCCCAGAGTAGAAAAAAAACAAGGTTTAAAATTATTAGATTTTAAAATTTATTCTTAGAAGTGTAAAAGTTTATTAATTAAACAACGACAACAACAACAATAAAAAAAGGAGATTGAAAAACCTGATGAACAATATTAGCTGTTGATTGTAGTAGAGTCAGTGATATGGGAGGGGAGTGGACTGACTCTGGTGGAGGGGCGGGAGGGAAAGGGGAGTGGTGGATGCGGGAAGAGAATGAACATAAACTGTTCACCTATGGGTGAGGACAATTGGGGGTGGGGAGGGGGTGGAGGGTGGGGTGGGAACCTGGTGGAGGGGGGGAAGAAATGAGGAACCTTTGTAATAATATGAACAATAAAGATTGAGTTAAAAACAAAAAAAACAAGTGGTGGCTCCTGCACCAGCAGTGGATGCAAGCAGGGCTGGCGCTGGCACCTGGTGCAAGTGCCAGGAGGGACCTTGGCACGGGAGCAAAGAATTTTCAGTAACCACCAGAGGCTTACCCCGATGACAACAGAGGCTTATCCTGCTTTGATCTGCCCCCCTCTCCACCTCCGTCCCCTCATTCACCTGTTCCACCACCCTGCCGCTGATGCCTGCCATGTTCTGTGTGCAACCCCTGGTGGTCACTGTTCAGTTGTTCCACCATTTGATCTATTTGCATATTAGGGTTTTATATATATATAGACTAGGGGTCCAGTGCACAAAGATTCGTGCTTGGGGGTGGGGGGTCCCTCAGCCAGATCTGTACCCTCTCCAATCTGGGAACCCTCAGGGGAGCCCTCTCAATCTGGGAGTTTCTTCTGTCTTTGTAATCATTTGAGTGAATTGTCTGAGACCCCAACCCAGTTTGGTTTGTTGCTCACAGAATAATAGAGGCTTTTTTTTTCTTTGCTTCATTGATAGAGATTTCATGGAAGTTTTAGGATATCTTCCCTTAATTTTTCCTAGACACTGATTTTACTTATGTCTCTCACCTTTGCTTTTCCTCCATCCCCCACTGTAACAGAAACTTGCTCCAGGCTCACTTTGCTCTAGAGTCTAGGCTATCCATCTACCACCAAAACTATGATTCCCAGCATTCCTGGTGCTCCCTGTGCTCTTGGTTTTCCCTTCCTGCTCTGTCTCTGTCCCACATCCTCCGGCTCTGCCAAGTCCTCCAAGCCACCAGCTCTTCCTCTCTGCTCTCCACCCAGTGCCTGTGTATGCAAATTAACCCACCATCTTTGTTGGGCTGATTTGCATACTCACTCCTGATTGGCTGGTGAGTGTGGCAGAGGTACTGTCAATTTACATGCTTCTCTTTTATTATATAGGATAGGATGGGGAAAGGGAGAAAGATGGGAAATACTATTTTGGGAAGAGACTTTTTATTGTATATATTTTTATATTGTTAAGATTTTATACCAGGTGTGTATATTACTATTCGAAATATAGATTTTAAAAGAAAAAAACTACTAAGAAAAACAAACAGGGTTGTGGATCTGAGGCTGGATTAAAAAAAACAGAGAACAGACTATATAGCAAAAGCGATGAGATATTCAAAGCAAAAGGGGCCTTATACTCACAAGACAGAAATAGTGCACGCTGAGATTGTCTTTCTGAAGAAATTCCCCTAATTTTTCAGGATCCCCAGGTTCTTGAAGGCATAGCAGGCATACTGGAAGACAGAATGTTAAGAACTCACATTGGGAGCATAACCATCTCTCTACATAATTAGAGGAGGGCAGTATTGGGAAGGGGGCCATTTGGATAAGGAGGGAGGTTAGGGTGAAGTGTTACTTGGTATCACTTGGTCTTTATATCATTTTGGCCACATTTGAAGGAGTTGACTACAACTGCTCACTTCATAGTTTCTTAAGTGGCCTTATTAACTTGTTTCTTGAATTTTGGATGTGACATTTAAAAATTATGCACCTTGAGTCCTCAGCATCTTAGATAATCTGGGAAGGAAGTAGGATCGACAGTGAGAGAACCAAGTTTGCTGCCCTACACAGGTAGTCTTTGCTGAGGTTGAGAGGAATCAGCTGAACAAAATCTAGTCTTTCTTACCAGGCGCTAAAGATGGCTTCCTCTGGGTCACCCTCCTCGTCTTGGCAGATTTTCTATACAAGAGAAGGAAGAAGTACAAGGTAGTCTTTGAGGGTTCATTCTATCATCATCTCTTGTAACATTTCCCTCAAAATGCCATCCATGGGTCTGATGAAGTACCAGAATACCTAAAGACTAAGACATTGGTTTCCTTTTCTATTTCATATATATATATATATATATATATATATATATATATATATATATATATGTATATATATATATGTTCCTTTTCTATTTCATATATATATATATATATATGTATACTTTTTTTTTTTTAATTTTCACCTGAGGATATGTTTTTACTGATTTTGGAGAGAGAAATGGGGGGGGGGGGAGGGAGGAGAGAGGGAGAGAGAAAGAGAAAGAGAAAGAAAAGACACACCCTGACACCCTGGACACACCCTGACAAAGATGGAACCAACATCTCAGGTATGTGCCCTGACCGAGAATTGAATCCAAAACCTTTTGGTACACAGAATGGTGCTCCAACTGAGCCACCTAGCCAGGGTTTCTATTTCATATTTTATGAAAGCATAAAATATACCTATTGAATTGCTTGAGTTGTGTGAGATAGTGTTTCTGGTGCCTGTATTGACTATGGTGATTGAATGAATTCAGGAGCAAATGCCCTTTTACTGTTTCTTCTGCCATCTACTCTGAATCTCTTTATTATTCACAAAGCATAATAAAATGATACTTAAATTGGATTAATAATTTCCTATTGTAGACATTATTTTTCGCTAGACATTATTCATGTGTTAGCTCAATGAATCTATAGAATGTTCTTAAAAGTGCTATTGCTTTGACCAGTGTGATTCAGGTGGGTGGGTATTGTCTGGTGTACCAAAAGACTGTGGGTTCGATTCCTGATCAGGGCACATGCTCAGGTTGGAGGCTCAATCCCCAGTAGGGGGAGTAGTAGCCAATTAATGTTTTACTCTCACATGGACATTTCTCTCTCTCCCTTGCTCTCTCTCTAAAAAAATCAACAAATCTTTTAAAAAGTGCATCCTATTATTATGCATATTTTCCAGATAAGGAAATGAAGGCATAAATAAATTAACCTGTCCCAGGTCACCTCATTAGCAAGTGTTCGAGCCAGTATGAACCTAGGAGTAGGGTCCAAGAGCCAGCACTTGCCTGGAAGGATAGGTTACCGGGCAGCTTCTAAAATACCAATGGTGTGTGCTTCCACACTACCCAACCCTCACTCCCAATGCCATGCAAAGGGGGGGAGTACAGTGTATACCACATTGAATAATGTGTCCCAAACTCCCTATGCCACCTACTTTACCTGAATCTCCGACATGCCTTCCCTTTTACAGGCTTCATTCGCTGCAGCCTCTGTCTCCTATCTTGAATTCTATTTATTATGAGGATAATAGAGGCTCTTCCAGCTATGAAAATAAACAGGGTTTGGTCAACAATTTAAGCCTACAGTTGGTTATCAAGTTCCATAGGGTCAAAGCAATAGAATATAAGGGACCTACCCAGTATCAGTGCTAGGTAGTAATGGCCAATAACTATTAAGTCGTGCCAAGAACTATTCCCCCACCCATGCACTAGATGCCATTATTTCCCCATTTTTTAAGATGAGACTGAGGCACAGGGAGGTCACAGAGAGGCACCTGCCTAAAGTCAGAGGTACTGCTATCACTCAGCCTAAACTGGCTAGCGGGTTGCTTTCTTTGTGCCTGTTAAGATCACAAGGTGGCATTCAGGAAAAACTTATTTTGCCCCCAAGTATGGGTGCCTCAATTCTGCCCAGTAAAAAGCGAGCCAAGCTAGTCCTTTCCAGGGAGGAGCTGGTGGTATGTCAGCTGCTTAAAGCAAGTGGGAGACGAGAGGTAACACTGACAAACGGTCGCTTTGCCCCAGGCTCAGGTGGCTGTTGAGGTTTGGCCTTTCTGTGGAGACTGACACCCTGCCAGTCCTCCAGCCTCCCCCAGTGTCAGCAGACTGGAGACAGAGTTTTCATTGGCCAGGGGGACAAAAGTAGCAAAACCCATTCCTATGAAGGAAGGACTGTTTAGTCAGGGGAGAGGAGAACTGAGTGAATTAGGTCCCTCCAGGGACAAACACCCCAGGGCCATGTCTCATGCCTGGGGAGCCCTGAGCATCTTCTAGGGCTTCCGACTGCTCTGGATGAATACAGCCAGAGGCAAAGCCGCCCTTCCTTTCTCTGTCTCCTCTTTTAACGCACAAGCTGCACCTGCAAGAAGCAATGACATTGCCCTACCCGGTTTGGCTCAGTGGATAGAGCGCCGGCCTGAGGACTGAAGGGTCTCAGTTGGATTCCGGTCAAGGGCATGTACCTTGGTTGCCAGCTCATCCCCCGTGGGGAGTGTGCAGGAGGCAGCTGATCGATGTTTCTCACTCATTGATGTTTCTAACTCTCTATCCCTCTCCCTTCCTCTCCCCAAAAATCAATTAAAAATATTTTTTAAAAGGAGCAATGACATTGGATGGCCTCTTACTCAACAAAGAGCTTGGACAGGCGCGAAGAGAAGGGCGAGCACTAGGGGGTCCACGTGAGCTGACTACTGAGCGGTTCTGAGTTTTGGGAGATCCTGATGGTCTAGCAATAGACATAAAACCTTGAAACTTTGGCTCTGTGCATCGCTGGACTAAGACGTTTCTTGCAGGGAGTTCCGTGCACACTGGTAGTTTCAGGAAGAAGAAGCATGTAAGGAGGGACGATGCAAAGGCGGGCTTCCACGAGCGGCTCGGGCGGAGGTTTCCTAACCGGGCGAGGCTCCTTTGAAACGGTTACCACGCTGTTTCGCTGGGCAGATGCTGGGTAAAAAGCTTGTTGAGATAATTAAAAATAAATAAGCGTGTTCGGCCCCGCCGCCACAAGAATAAGACAATGATTACTTTGCAGAATAGGTGTCGGTGTGGCCACAACCGTCCCCCAGAGGTAACCGCCGGCGAAGGGGCTCAAGAAGCATCCCGGGAGTGCCAGGCCAGGGTCATGCCGCGCCCGCGGGGAGGCTCGTGCGGACCGGGCCGGAGTCGCCTCTGCCGCTCGCTCCTCACTGCGCACTCGGGCCGCCGCTCCCGGCCAGGGCCGCCCGCTCAGGTGTCGACGAGGGCGCCTGTGTCTCGGAGCTTTATTCGTTGTAGCTTCCTCACGGGCGGCCGCCCCGCGCGGTGACTGCGCCGGCGTAGGGGCGAGCGCGCAAACGGGGGCCGGGTCGCGCGGACGGCGACCCAGGGGGACTGCGGCCCCGGCCCGGGGGCTACCGCTACGGTGACCGTTGGCGGAGGGGAACCGCTAAAGGCCGCGCGCCCGCCCCCCATCTCCCCGCCTCACCCCTTCCCCTCGCGCCGCAGGGTCTAAAGCCGCGGGCCCCGCCCTCCCTCTAGCCACGCCTCCTCACAACGCGCCCCGCCCACCCTCTAGCCACGCCTCCTCACGGCGCGCGCTCCCGCGCCACTGGCGCCAACGCCATTCGCCCGCCCCTCCTCTGGCCACGCCCCTCCTCTGGCCACGCCCCTCTCATCGCCCCGCCCCGCGCTAGAGCTCTAGCGTCAGGCTAACCAGAGGAAGACACGCCCAGAAGCCTGGGGGGAGACGGTCGCTCTGTGGTGACGTATCCCGCTGGCGCGAGCAAGTGACGCGACGGGACCCGTTGTCTGTGTGCGGGGCTAGGGGCCCCGGGGGCGTCGGGGGCTCCCGGCGGGGCGGCGGTGGGTCGGGAGGGCCTGGACATGGCGCTGAGGGGCCGCCCCGCGGGAAGATGAATAAGGGCTGGCTGGAGCTGGAGAGCGATCCTGGTGAGGAGGGGGGCCGGCTGGCCGGGGATGGGGGTTTTTGGGGTCCTTCTCCCCACCCCCCGGCTCCTACTTGACCATCATCCGCACCTCTTGTCGCCCCACCAGGCCTCTTCACCCTCCTGGTGGAAGATTTCGGTAAGAGCCTCTCCTACCCGCCGGACCCCGGCCGTGGGGACTCACTTTCCCGCCCTCGCTGCATGGCCCGGAGCTGCCCTTCCCGACTTATTTTCTTCCCTGATCGCAGGTGTCAAAGGGGTGCAAGTGGAGGAGATCTATGACCTTCAGAGCAAGTGCCAGGGGTGAGTGGCTTGGCTGCAGGACCGCCTTTCACACCTCGAGGCCTAGAGGTGTTCCTCCAGGGGGGTAGTATCAGGAGCCCCAGGTTGTGAAATCTAACATAAGGAAGTGTCGTTCTTATTTGGGTGTTCTCCTGATCAAGCTGGTATTTTTGTTTTCTCCCCTCATCACTTCCCTTTCTGTAGTAGCACCTCCCCCAGTCGATAACAATTCTAACCATCCTTTGGAATATAGTTCAGCTTCTTTTTCTGGTCTGGAGCAGGAAGCCAGGCCCTTCTCTAGACCCAGATCGCACCTGCCTTTTGAGCAGCTGTAATGATTAATTACTGCTTAAAGTGCCGGTGTGCCAGCGCCTCTCATCTCCACACAAGGATCTGGTGTAGATTGGTTGGTACCTACAAGGCCCTCCTGGGTGATCAACCTCAGAGCCTTGTTTTGGTGGTCCTGCAAAATGGAGGTATGGAGGAACCGCTGTGTCTACTGAATTGAGAAGTCTGCTTTTATTTCCCAAAGGAGGGGCTTCTATGGGTATTCGTTTTCTTCCTTGTCTGCCTTGGGGCTCAGGCCATCAGAGTTTTTGTTCTCACCTTAACGTCTGTTCCTACCCTGTCCTGGGCCATTGGTTCCAGCTTTTCTTTTATCCCAGAACCATAAACTTCAGGAGGACACTGGTGGACTCCTGGAGAACCACAGCCAGAAGCGGATGCTTAGCCTGCCTGGGGCGGGCTTCTGGGGTGTGAGGGCTCAGGGTCACTTTGGGCAGTGTCGGGAAGAAACCAGGAGAGAGATGGGGTTACAGGAGGGGCACCTGAGTGGTAACACAGTGCAGGGGAATAGGGGGAGAGAAAAAGGGGGGACTGGTTTCCCTCTCCAACTTGGCTGGTTTAGCTCTGCTCCTTCTTTTCCCCAGCCCCGTGTATGGATTCATTTTCCTGTTCAAATGGATCGAAGAGCGCCGATCCCGTCGCAAGGTCTCTACCTTGGTGGACGACACATCTGTGATCGATGACGATATTGTGAATAATATGTTTTTTGCCCACCAGGTGTGCTGGGCTCTGTGTTCTGTCTGGGGGGTGGGATGCTGCTATTTTCTTTGCGTGGGAAGTGGGAGTGGGAACAGGCAGGAGGAAGAGATAGGCAGTTACTGAGGGTGGTGGTTATAGAAGTCCCTTGGCAAAAGGAACTGAGCTCCTATTCATTAAAAAAGGGAGACTCTTTAGAGCAGTGTGGGGTCTGAATCTACTTTCCAGGTCCCCAGACATCTGATGGGTATTTAGTTAAGTGAACAGACTTGGAGCAAAGATGAGGGTTGTTGTCCAGATAAGACTGTCCCTCTCTGGGTTCCCTTTCCTGATGAATGTGGGCTTCGGTTGAGGATGCTGTGCATGGGTGACTGTTCTTGGTTTCGCAGCTGATCCCCAACTCTTGTGCTACGCATGCCCTGCTGAGCGTGCTCCTGAACTGCAGCAATGTGGACCTGGGGCCCACCCTGAGTCGTATGAAGGACTTCACCAAAGGCTTCAGCCCTGAGGTATGCCACCGTGCCTTCATCCTGGCTACAGCTGGTGGGACACTGGTGATGCCACTGCATGACATTTGGCACCGTGAGGCTTTTTACTTTTCACATGCTCATTTACACATTTGACTCTTAAGTTAATTGTGGAAGGCAGTTGGTTTTAGGCCCAATTGTTAGGAAAGGAGACAAACCTAGGGAAGGAAGGAAGGTTGCTCAAGTGGCACCGTTTTAGGACTTTGTCGGCATTTTGGAATCCATGTTGCTCCCAGTGTCCGCTTATTACTGTGCAAGGCCATATGAGCCCATCTCTTGCGGGCTCCAGAGCTCTCTTCTGCCCTTTAGGAGAGTCCACCTCTGCTTCAGGTTCCTGGAACACCTCCAGGCCTGCTCGTCTAAGCTCTGGTTCCCACCCAGAGGCTCAGCTGAGAAGTTGTTCTGATGTGGTCTCATTTTCTTCCCTCCAGAGCAAAGGATATGCGATTGGCAATGCCCCGGAGTTGGCCAAGGCACATAATAGCCATGCCAGGTGTGTGGGAGCTGTGGGAGCTGTTGGGGGGAGGGGGGAGGAAGGAAGGGCTGTCTCATTTGGGGCCTTGACTGCGTCTTTCCCCAGGCCCGAGCCACGCCACCTCCCTGAGAAGCAGAATGGCCTTAGTGCAGTGCGAACCATGGAGGCATTCCACTTTGTCAGCTATGTGCCTATCACAGGCCGGCTTTTTGAACTGGATGGGCTCAAGGTCTATCCCATTGACCATGGTAAGCACTCTGAGCTGGGGGCTCTTTGAGTTTTTCTGCTTAACTCTTAAGGAGCTGGGGTCTAGGGTCCTCAGGTGCTTGGAACTCAGTGGTGGGGGGTGGGTATTCAGGACATCTGGCTTTGGCCATATGGCACCCTGCAGCGCATTGCCTTATTAGCCCCTGACTCCCTGACTCAACTACTCTCCATCCTCCCTCCCATTCTTGGCTTGCCCAAACTCAGGGCTTCCCACCTGCTGACTCCTTGTCTTGGTATTCCTTAGGGCCCTGGGGTGAGGATGAGGAGTGGACAGACAAGGCCCGGCGGGTCATCATGGAGCGTATCGGCCTCGCCACTGCAGGGTAAGGGTCCTACCCTCTGGAGCTGTTCCCCCATTGCAATGGGCACAGAAAAGGGAACCAAAGCAGAGAAGCCAGGTGATTGGTGCCATGGTGAATCTGGCAGGATCAGGCTTGATTCTTGGGCTCCCAACTCATTGTTCTGTGGCCTGCTTTGGGAAGGGGCAGGGCTTGGTGGAGCCCTAGGTGGCCCAGGCGTGCTGGCTCACTTCTTGCCAGGCCCCTCACACAGCTTGTTGGAAGGCACCAGCTCACGTGCCCGGTATACATGGTCCCCTGCTGCCTGCTGTTGGGGTGGGGCCTGTACCTATGGCAGCAGGTGTGACTTCAGGGAGCCCTGCCAGGTTCTCTGCCTCAACCTGGTGGTGGGGACGGGGTGGGAGCTGCTCTCACAGCTGCACTGTGCCTGCAGGGAGCCCTACCATGACATCCGCTTCAACCTGATGGCAGTGGTGCCCGACCGCAGGATCAAGTATGAGGCCAGGCTGCATGTCCTCAAGGTGAACCGTCAGATAATACTGGAGGCTCTGCAGCAGGTGGGTACTCTCCTGTCCGGTCCCTGTCAGCCATTTTCTCCTTCCCCTCACTGGGGCAGTTGTCTGTGATTCCCAAATCATCGTGGATCTGGGCTTCAACTAACCACTCCTCTCCTTTGAGCCCTTTTTGGGGAAGGGGTGGTGAGGGAAAGTAGTTTCTAGAAGGAGGTTTGGGTTTGACTGTTGTGTTTTTCTGTGAGGAAGTCGGGAGAGCTAAGGCCCTTAGCTGTCCAAGGTAGAGGCTGGGGCTGCCTTCTCTCCTCTGAGCTTTGGCTTCTCTTTTTAGGTGATCAGGGTAACACAACCAGAGCTGATTCAGACACACAAGTCTCAAGAGTCCCAGCTGCCTGAGGAGTCCAAACCAGCCA